CATGCCCACAAAGGAGATGGTCAACATTTGATTTCTGAGACCAGGGGTTACTCCTGGAAGAGCAGGAAAGGAAGAGGTGGGAAGATGAGGGAATTGTAGAGTCTCCTGAGAAGGGATGTGGTAGACAGGAAGTGACATCAGCTTGTATTTGCTTCCTACCAGTGTCCCTTGAACTCAGTGTCCTTAGGCATGGCAGCATTTTGAGAGAATGGCTATGGGATGGGAGCAACAGGGAACCAGGTACAGAGGCTCTTTTGCAAAGGTCTCTGGGCCCAGGAGTGGCAAAAACAGGGATTAGTAGCTCTGAAGGCCCACATGGCTCAATGAGCACCTCAGTGAGATTCAGCGGATTGCTTACCCCAAACAGTCTGGACTGTGAAAGACTTCTGGAAGCTTTGTACAACCTAAGTGGTAAATGGAAGTAGATTCAAGTATGACCAAGATTGACTTTTCTTTTCCTAGCCCAGAGAGGTAGGGCCTCTGAATCAGATTTGGAAACTTAATGACATTTTCTGCATAAAGTCCCCATATGTGAAACAAAGGTGAAGGAACAGTACCCTGGCTCTGTTGTAGTATTAATAGAAAACTTCCCTGGTCCACACTGTCCATCAGTTCCTGAGATCATTATAAAGGATATTGTACCAATTCTATCCTTTTAAAAAAATTTGATCTCAACTACATAAAGTTGTTCAAGTCCATTTTGCAGATAAGAAAACATAACCTAGCAACTTACTCATGGCTTAAAGTATCAGACAGCGCACTAGAATACAAGACTTCTGGTTCCAAGCCTCATTTTTTTCCAGTGCCCAGGGAGCCCTGCTTATCATTCATGAGGAATGAGAGACTGGTTAGGTATAGGGCAGCTATTGCTATCAGAACCTTGCGAATTTGATCTAAAGTATTTCATCTCAGGTTTGTTTTTTCATCTGAGAAGAGATTTACCCTCATTGAGTGAAGGACTTAGTGTGTTTTTATATATATCTTAAGAAACATGAAGGGCATACATTTTTGAGTTAACTCTTCAACAACACCCTGCTCTAGACACGAGGGAGCTGCTGATACTCTTGAGTAATGACGACAGGCTGTAGGCTATTAGGAAAGCTAAGCTGGGCCCATGCGCAGGGTGGTATCAAGAGAAGTTAGAGGTCAGATGGGACATCTGCTTACAGCAGCTACTAGTCCGGTAAATGATGAATGCACCTAACTTGTGGAACATGTAATGGGGAACAGGGAGGGAAATGGACAGGATTGAGGACCTAGAGTGAAAAAAGTGCCACATTCATTTACAGATAACAACACTTGAATGTTTAAGCCTTGCCTTAAAAGCGGCTACCAACTATATTTACCTGCTTTTCCTTGAGCTATAGGCAGTTTATGCAAAAGACTAGATGTTTGGAAATATCTAAAGAAATGTACTAGTTAAGAAGAGTGATTATTTCCTAAAAGCTGCATCTCTCCAAGGAGAAAACTGATACCCCAGAATGGAGTAACAGATAAAAGACCTATTTTAGAGGGCTAGAATACCTTCAAGTGATCTCTGGTATTTCTCTACGCAGAAAGTTAGATTTCTCATCACCCAGTCTTCTGAGTTTTTTAAATGTCTTTGGAGGATTAATAATAAAAAACAAGCTTTGCAAGCTGAGCAGATGAACTGAACCAGGAAAGCTTAGCCAAAGTGAGCAGAGCAGAAATACTAAGTTCAGACAGAAGTGTGTTTGTTCCTTCCTGCTCCAACTCAGCTGTTGGTATTGTGCTTTAGGAAGAAGAAACTTTTCTCCTGGTTTTCAGTAAGAATCTCCACTTGTAGGGCCAGGGATTTAGCTCAGTGGTTCCACCACCTGCCTTGCAAGCATAAGGTCCCAAGTTTGGTTGCCAGTACCACAAACAACCTCCACTTGTAGGCATCTCTGACATTAGGTAAAGGGGTGCTGGGCAGAGGAAAAAGGGCAAATCAAGTAAGAGCAGCAGCCCAACAGAGGTGTGGATGGCACCATCTGGAGATCTGTAGTGATAGCTTCACCAGGCCTGGCCCAAGCACTTACCAGAAAGAACTCGGAGGTTCTAAATTAGAGGCTGTGAAGAGGTAGGTAGGAAGTTTGGCCCAAATTAAAAACACTTCAAATATACTTCTTACAACCTCAATGCAGTAATCCATTACTCCTCATAAAGAACTGTGATTCACAAACAAGTCCTCTTTATTTTATTCTTTTTTTTTTTTTTTTTTTTTTGGTGCCGGGGATCAAACTTGGGTCCTTGCGCTTACAAGAGAGGCAGCAGAATCACTGAGCTAAATCCCCGGTGAGTCCTCTTTATTAAGCACTTGGCTAATAGTATTCCTTAAATATAATCAAGCCATAAGTAAATTCTAGATGATCACCTTTTAAAATTAAAATATGTTTTGTGGAACCAGCATGAGATTTAACATCAAAGAGCCCCCAAAGGCTGGGGATGTAACTCAGTACCAGAGTGCTTTCCCACCATGAGTGAGGCTCTAGGTTCAATCCTCAGCACTATAAAAGGCCCCCAAGATTCAAATTCCTACTTTAATATTTATCCTGTTATTCTGAGAAGTTTCTTAACCCCTTTGGTCTTGTCTCCTTATCTGTGAAACAGGAAGGCTACCTCACTAAATGGTATTGGATTATTTGTATGTCTACATGGATGTATGCACACACATACAGGGCAGGGCACATGGGGTAGCCAGGTCAGGATCCACAAGGAACAGGCAATACCTTGGAAGCCATATTGATGGCTGGCAGGATGAAGCTGGAGTACTGAGAAAGGTAGAAAATAGTGTGGTCAGACGAAAAGGACAAAGAGTGGGGTGGGGCATAATTGCTAATGGATACAGGGTTTCTTTCTGATGAAAGATGAAAATGTTCTAAAGCTAGACGGTACTAGTTGTGCAGCAAATATACTAAAATACATTAGTATTTTGAAAAGGGTAAAAATTTTGTGGTATATAAATCATGTCTTGATATTTTTTGTTTTCAGTATTGGAGATTAACTCAGGACTTTGTGCTTGTGAGGCAGGAGGAATGCCATTGAACTAAATGCCTGGCCCATGTCTTGATATCTTATAATTTATTCTGTAGTACTGGGATCAAACCCAGGGCCCCGGGCATGCTAGGCAAGTACCATTGAGCTACACACCCAAGTCCTATGTTGTTATTTTAAAAAGGGATTGCAGGGCCAGGGATTTAGCTCAGTGGTTCGGTGGCCTGCCTTGCAAGCACAAGGACCCGAGTTCAATCCCTGGTACCAAAAAACAAAACAAAACAAAACAAAACGGATTGCAGTGCCAGGGATTTAGCTCAGTGGCACCACACCTACCTTGCAAGTGCAAGGTCCTGAGTTTGATCCCTGGTACCCTCCTCCCCAAGAAAAGGGATTGTAGAAAACATGAATAAGAACATCTAAACAGGTAATGGGAAATGAGTTATTTTCATTGTCTGGTGAGGTGGAGAATCAAGTACTGATTTATAGGACAAAAGTCACTGTTTAAGGAGGCAAAGAACCTGTTTTTTGGTCAAATTATACAATTTTAGACTTTTGTTGTATCACCTTTCCAAGTTGATAGATTTTCCTTTACTCCTTAGGCTAAAATATTGATGGATTTCTCATAAGATGGTTTCTGAACTTTGGGTAACAGTTTTTCAGTACCTGTATTGTTTCCTTCTGGATTTTAAGACATCATGAGAGATATTTACCAACACCAAATATTTCATATTCACTGTTTCCAAACTGCCTCAGTGGTCACAAATAAATCATAGGCACAACCATTTAGATATTTATTATTAAATTACATAACAAAGCTTTTTCTATAGTCAGAAAATGCACATTTAGATGAGAACAAAAATTAAGTACAAATACAACAAAATTGGTTCCAAGAAGCTATTTTAAAAGCAAAAATGTTGGAAAAGAATGTATTTTTAAAAATCCATATTGGCATTTTTCTTGAGGATACATCTTCCACTAGTGTAAAATGTGATTGGAATTAATTTCCCCTCTCTTTTATGAGTGAATAGGGCAGATACTGATGCAAATAATTTAGGGCAGGTACAAAAAAATGACAAAGATCGCTTCGGACATGGCTCAGCTCTGTCTCTGCTTCTTATCTAATAAAAATCCTTAAACTTCACTTGTTCCTTTCTCATTTTTCCTCCTATGAAACTTAAGGGTATGTAGGAATAAACAATAAAAAGGAATACGTACGATTCATTTATTAAGACCATAATGAAAAGTTCTGCATCTTTTTGGGGGTAGGGGGCACCAGGAATTGAACTTAGGGCCTTGGGCTTGCCAGGCAGGCACTGTACCACTGAGATACATCCCAGCTCCTGTTTTGCATCTTTTTTGGAGGTCAGAGTAAATAATCCCTAATCATAATCATCATAATGTAAGTAGGATCCCTTTGTCCTTTAGTTACAAAATTCAGACTATCATTGAACAGCCATTTATCCCCAACAGCTTAATATTACAAGTTAGAAAACTCAAATCAATTTCCAAAACCATCTAATGACAAAACATGAAGCACTGGAAACCCGAAGGGCTAGACCAGTTCTTACAGGTCATTTTCATCAGGTTAAGATCATAACAGAGAAAGCAGAAATAGTGGAAATGAAAATAAATTCCACAGAGACCCAAAGTCACTACATCAAAAGGCCCAATAAGTGTATTTTTCTAGTAAGATGTAGTCATATCCAATACGAAAGAGCTAAAGGAAATATTATTTGGTTCCACAAAAATACACCCTCAAGGTGTCTCCTTTCTTAGAGTTTACTACCACACCTGATTTGAATATCAGGCAGTACAGAAAAAAGACATTCTCTTTGTATAAAGATGGATTTTATACAAAAGATGGAATAGTAGAGAAAGAAAGTCCCTTTTTTTTTTTTTGAGACAGGGTCTCACTATGTAGTTGAGACTGACCTGGAGCTCACTATGTAAACCAGGCTGGTCTCCAACTCACATTGATCCTTCTGCCTCCTGAGTGCTGGGATTATAGGTGTGCGCCACCACGCCTGGCTAAGAAAGTCCTTTTTAACATCAGAAAAAATAAAAGGTGAGCAATGTAGGTTACAGGGAGTCTTGCAGCATCAGTAACAGTCAAAGAATGAGGAGACTTCCAGGAAGGATAACCTATGGCACTTGGATATCTGGGCTTGAACTTGAGTAACAGATTAAACACTTTTACTAAGGTCATCAGTATACATTAAAACAAAAATCTTAGAAACACACCATTTGGAGCCAAGTGTACTTGTGCCACTGTAGTGGCACAAACCAGTAGTCTCAGCTACCTGAAAAGCTGAGGCAGAAACAAAGATATTTGAGGTCTGCCTGGGCAACCTAGCAAGATGCCATCTCAAAAAGAAAAAGACAATGTTTGGATGCTGTATTCACATTTTTTAGTGAGATGGAGAGTTCTGAATAGTTATTAAAAAGATCCAAAAAGGAAAGATTTATTACATAAGACAATGGCTACTGGAACATAACTTTCCTAAGAGGCAACATTTCATTGGGATCAGAAACAGAAAATTCCTCTGACCTCTGGGCTCAGCCTCAAAATTCCTGGCTCTGGCTTTAACAAGTAATAAACTTTTGGCTTTTGAGCCTAGCAACTGGTCTGGAAGAAAGATAGCAAAAAAAGGGAAGAAAATCAAGATGAATTTTTAAAAAGTTAACTGGCATAAAACTGAAACTCAAATTAACCATCACAAGATCCAAATTGAGTCCCTTCCATTAAAGGGCACATCTCCATTTCCTTTCAGCAAGGGGAAGGGAAGAGCACTCTCTCAATCGTTTACTTTCTAGCTATCGGGTGGGGGCACCTCACTATGGGTAAGAGTACTGGGAGGTTAGTCAGACTTATCTGACACCAACATTTACACCAAGCCTTTTCAACTTCCTTGGAAGAACTGGTTTCTTTATTTTCATAAAGAAAATAACCAACATAATTCTATTATTCCACATGAGCACAGCCCTCCTGGAGAGGCTTATCAGCCACCAACACTGTTTCTTTGCTTGGCTGTAGCAAGCTAGATTACTCTCACGATATCAGCTTTAATGAACAAACCAAGTAATCAGACCAGTAAAAAAGACTGGTAGTATAATTAAATAAATAACTTTATTTATGATATTTCAGATTTTATAAATGCCAACTATATAGCAACTAAAGTCCCATAAATTCTAGCTGAGGCACAACCACCAATCAAGGCCCTTTGAAAAATCAAAGATAATAGTATCAGGGGAGAAAAGTTTTGTTCTCTCAAAAGAGAATTCAATAAATGAACTTACTTCCTTGATCCTTTAAGGTTCACATTAGGAAAACTTAAATTTTCTTTAAGGGGATTTCCAGGTAATAAAACGATCATCAGTCCATATTTAGAAAAATAAACCCCACAGTTAAGAAAAATATATCAAATGCCCTTCATACCCAGAATGTAATAAAACTGTGACAACAGAATGATGAGCTGCTCCATCCCAGACTAGTGTTAGTCTACTCATCATGTAGTATATCATGTCCCTCTGAACAACAGCATCTACACACCATGCTGTAGTGAAGAATTTCTCCTTTTATTCCCTGTGGCAGTCTGAGGCAAGTCCTATAAATACCATAGTCAACTCCAATGGGGAATAGCAGCTTTTTCTTTTGGTGAGGAGTAGGGATGTAAGAAGTCTTTAAAATACCTGGTGTTTCAGTAAGGTAAGTAATGAATTTTCAATAACAGAAATGGTTAATCGTGAAAAAAGTTATGGGGGGTAGTTCAGATTTTTGTCACTATCCAGAGATGGTAAAAGAAGACAGGTGCACACACAGATTGTCATAGGCACCTTCAACAGTGAAACCATTCTCTGGAGGTTTGGAAAATTTTAAGAGATTTTGAATGAATAGATTTTCACAGAACACAGATCACCAGACAGTGGTTCTTAAGCTTTTGCTCCAAAGTTGTAGAGCATTTACAAATGGAATTATCTGGATAGTGACTCCTCAATGTCTTTTTACATTTGACTTATTGAACAGAACCTCACTGAAAATTGAGCAGTCCTCACCCTCAGTAACCAGTGCTAATCTGACATAATAAAGAACCGTTGGGTGGCCTGGAAGACATTGGCTATTAGTCTTTTTGTCATGGTAGAATTCAGATTTCATCATCCTGTAGTAACAAATATTAATCCAACAGAATAAAAAAAATAAAATGACTAGTTCCTTAAAAAAAAAAAGAGAGATGCCTGTCCTTCTTGATATTTTTCTAGCAATACAGTTAACCCCAGTGAGTGTACTTGTAATTTTAAAAAAGAAACACACAAAAGTTTTTTTTGCAGTGTTCTGTCTTTGACAACTCAAAACATGTTAAATAGAAAATGGTCTAGGGCTGGGGATTTAGCTCTGGTTCTGGCACCAGCCTTGCAAGCGCAAGGGCCTGAGTTCGATCCCTGGTACCCTGCCTACCCCAAAAGAAATACTCTGGAAAATGGCCTATCAGCATCTCAAAGAATTTGTGAAAAATGGAATTTTCCTTGACTACCCCATGAGTTGGGAACATCAAGTAGAAATCTATCAAGGTTATCAAGAAAGGACTTGTGATTTTTCATCATAGGGTTAAATAAAAGGACAAGAGTTATTTTTATTCACAACCCAATCTGCTCGCTGAAAGAAAAAGACTCTCTGGATAGTATAGAGAAATCTGGTATTCTGAAGAGTCCAGCTCTCTAAGACCTGGCTTGTCATCAGGCCTCAATATTATCACTGAAGCACAGAGACTCTTGTTTTTGATTGCTTTACTCACCTCCTAAGGAGACAAAAGCAACTGAAATCTTTTTTTGTTTTTAAACTAAAAACAGGAAAATGTGTGTTATAAAAGACAGCACAGAAAAATTGGCTTCAGCTCTATCCATGTCACCGAACCATCACTATCAGTATTGAATCCACCTGGCTGGTCAGGCTCATTTTCAGGGCAGTCAACTTCTCCATCCTTCTTTTCCTCATTCCAGGTCTGGGCGTGAAAGTGGCACTTGTCAAGAGTTCCTGGGGAGGTCCCATCAATGGAAGGCATACAGCAGCAATAGGATGGTACAGATACCGATTACACCACCTAGGATGAGTGAGTCTCGCCGCTTCCTGAGATTGATCCTCTGGATTAGGCTGTTCACAGCAGGAAAACGATCTTTGGGAAATCTTTATTAAGGTCATATTTGAAAGAAACCTTTTTAGTGAGAAGTCACAGGAATTATGAATACAGCAACAGGCGGAGTCTGGAAACAGTAAGTAATGGTAAGATACAGGAAGGAAGAAAATTACACTGAGGAAGTCTTTGGTAAACACCCTTTCCAAAATTGGGACAAATAAGTCTCCCAGTCTTGTGTGTAGTAAGAATAATGATGAGAAGAAAAAACAGCACCAGTATGTTGAGACATTTCTGTCAAGCTTCAGATCAGTGGGAACCAGTATGGTTAGGAAGTCAAAGCACAGCCAGCTCCTATCTTGCTCCCTCATCCTGTTTTCCTCCTTGCCTTCTTATCCTAGCCTTCTCCCCTAGTTCCCATTTCTCCCCCTTTGTTTTTTTCCCCTTCCTTTCTCTCAAGAAACAAGAGATTTCTGCTTCAAAGTTTTGAGGAAAACCTGATCCTCTTTCTTACAGAGAAATAATTCTTTTTTTTTTTTTTTTTTTTTTTTTTTTTTTTTTTTTTGGTTTTTTGAGACAGGGTCTCACTATGTAGTTGAGACTGACCTGGAACTCACTGTGTATCCCAGGCTGGTCTTGAACTCACAGCAATCCTCCTGCCTCAGCCTCCCGAGTTGATGGGATTACAGGCGTGCACCACCACGCTCAGTGAAATAATTCTTATATTGAGTTAACTGGGAACCAACTCTAGGATCTATGTACTTAGGTACTGGTGAATTATTTAAAATTTACTTTGCAGAAGTAGGCAGGATACAGTGGGAAAGTAGGTTAAAATGTTCTAACTATCCTATTAGGGAACATTAAAAAAAAAGCAAAGATGGCAAAAACTCAATTTTAGGAGTACTATAACGATCATGACTATATTTTACTTTGTATTTAAAGATATCTTTATACTTTTCTATAGATTTCTTTGTAGGTCTGGCAATCATTTCTGAAAATACAACTGCAGGTGCATCCTCTTTGATAACAGAAAAAATAAAGTTCAGGAAAACTAATGATAAAACCACCAAGGATACCAGAGAGCTGGACTAGTCTCCCTCTCCTGAGAATCTTCACTGCATTTTTCTGTAACAAAATGCAGATCAAGGGCATTTATTTATATATTCTATATATTGTAGGATTGTATCTTTCTCTAATCTTGAATTTTCCCCACACTTAGAATATACACTGCAGATATTAATGTATTTTTTGATTAAAAAACCAGGACTAATAGCAGAAACAGTTGTAAAAAATCATAAAGCAAGTATTGATGTAAGAGACAAAAACTCTTGCAAGGTAAAAATCTCACATACAGAAAATGCTTAATCTTTTCTTGCTTAGTAAGAAGAGACTATACATAAATTTTTGCATCAGGAAACTCCAGCTACGGTGGATATATTCTATCTGATTTACTTTTTTTTATGGAACCACCACCCTTCTTCCCTTCTATCATAATCTAGTTCTGTAGTCGAAATATGATGGGTCCAATCTTGCCTTCCATTACCAGGATAGGTCAATAAGGATATTCTACCTCTTGGCCAACGACTGGGTTGGGAATGGACAGTAACTTACGTGGGGGCAACCACAGTCCTCTTTTGAGGTTTTTGTGACAGCTGTTAGAAAGAACACCCTTTTCTTTCCTCATACTGTTTTAAGCTAGTGTTAACAGCCATCTTTCTCATCCCGAGGAAAAAGCCTGCTTGAGAGTAAGGTTAACAGTTAAAAGCTATAGTACCTGATATAGAATAAATAATACATGTCAAATCTAAAGAAAAAGACAAAACAATAAAAGGCTGAGGTAAGAGAAAGAAAGGGAGCAAAAGAGAGAAAAGGCAGATTCCTGATGATAACGTATGAGCCACTGAATCCAGTCACACCTTAAGCCAAATTCCATGCCTGGATTTTACACAGTTAGATGAAATATTTTCTCCTTGTTTCCTTTAAGTCAATATGAATTAGGTTTCTGTTGCTGTATCTCTATAGAGTCCTAATACTTATTTTGTTTGATTTTTTTGAACACTACTCATTCTTTTGGAATGACTAGAAATTCTTGAGTGGCTGACCTGTACTAGGCACCATGCTGGGCTCTGGGACACTGCCTTACCTTAGAGACTTTGTCTTAAAATTTTCAAAAAAGGTCTGGGGCTGAGCATGACAGAACATACATATAATCCCATACTCTGTGATGCTGAGGCAGAAGGACTGAAAGTTCAAACCCACCCTGGGCTAAGGTAGGGGGCAGCCTGGGGGTATAGATCAGAGCTCTCTGTATTCAATCCCTAGAACACAAATAAGAAGGGAGAGAAAGGGAGGGAAGGCAGGAGGGTGGGACAGAGGGAAGACAAAAAAGAAGGAGATACAGAGGGAGGGAAGACAGAGAGGGAAGGAGAGGGAGACACTGAAAACATATGGTCTAGAGGGGAGAAATACCTCTAGTTCACAGTAAGAAAAAGGACATGAAGAATAGTGCGGACAAATTCTAATGCAGTTGGAATGGCTTCAATCAGTATTTTAAATGACCCAGGTATCCAACCTCCCCTTCCATTTCAAAATTTCAATGGTTTCATAAAATATAAGCTCTTATACTGTATTCACTAAGTAGTTTTTGTTCTTGCTAGTGATCAAGTTCATAGTTTTAAAAAGCCTGATTTCACAGGAACTTAAACCTGAATCTCTCTTGCTGTGGACCCAGCCCAAGTCACTTTTATGAGCCTAATTCTTTATCTGCCAAACAACAATAATAATTTTTACATCCTCTCTTTTGTGGTGATGATAAAGTGACATATCACACATAACAGTACTCTGTAAGTTATATAGCACTATACACACTATACATAATTTTGTATATTTGGCTTTATACTAGGTAAGTAACAAGGCAAGAACAAAATTCACAAATGACTGGAAAATACCAACAAACTCCAGGATATTTTTCCCTCAGGCAAAGGAGTAATCAAACTAAAAGTAACCTTTGGGCCGGGGATTTAGCTCAGTGGTTCTGCCACCTGCCTCCTAAGTGCAAGGTCCTGAGTCCAATCCCCGGCACACATACACAAAAAAGCTAAAAGCAACCTGAAATTAGGATCAGAAGATACTCAACTTTTAAAAATTATATATTAAAAAAAAATTATAGGTCCTTCCTCTCATAGTAGTTACAGAAGAAATCTTTTTCCCCTAAAGGCTCATCTTCCCAGAGACTAAATAAAGTTCTTCAGAATGGCCAGCTATTAGTTTCCTTGGGGGCCTCTTGGAAGTACTATTACTCTTGGAAGTACTACTACTAACCTTAATTAACAGGGAAACTAAAAGGCTAAAAGATCACAGCAAGAAGTGAATCTATCCTGGAATTCACTTTGTGCTTCTCATCTATGTATACGGCTTCTTCCTTCCTGCTTCCGTCTAAGTATTTGTCACTAACTTGTTCTCCAAATTGGAAAATAAAGAGAACATAATTTATGATATTCAGGTAAAACAATATACAGAGGAGAACTATCGTGGATTTAGATCTATTAAGTGTAAAAAAAATTTGTGAATAATTTAAAAACTCACCCCCCCCATATCTACTGGTATTAAACTGCTGATGTGCAGTCTTCCAGAAATGGTACTAAACAGCATGAACTTTGACAAAGTAGGAAGTATTCACATGTAATTACTGAGGGGCTTTACAAATGCTCAGTGGCTGCCCCCACCCCTGAACCACAGAAAAGAATAGGCACACACATACCACACACCCCAACACAGACCAAACTTTTAAAAAGGATACTGGCCAAAGTATTCATTTTGCTGTGAATTGACTTCAACATCCCTCTCTGTGAAGTCATATTTTCTTTTGTTGCCATAGCAATGCTTCAAGGGGGGGAGAAAAGAAACAAATTGGCATTTGAGATTACTCTAAACACAGCATTCTCATCCTCTAAAACTACAGGTGCAATATCATCTTGAAAAGACCAGACAGGAAAATAAAGAGAAAGTACTTTCCAAGCCACCTTTTTTTGAATGACCTCACTACTAGCAACAATATCTTTTTTTCTTCTTCTTCTTCCCCATACTAGGGATCAAACTCAGGACCTTGCACTCATGAGGTAGGGTGCGGTACCAATGAGTTAAATTCCCAGCCCAACATCTTTTTGTATAAGCCATTTTCTATATTTTCTTCAAAATAACAAAAAAGACGTTACCAAAGCACAGACTACAAAAGCTTCTTACACTAAATTTAAAAGAACCCAGCTACTAAAATATTCTTAATCAGAAAAAACTGTTGAGAGGGAAGTAGAGAATTACAATCATAAAAATAGAATCAAAAGTATGTATTAATATATAACCAGTTTTCAGTTTATGAGCAAATTCTGTTTCAAAATTTTACTTAAGAATCAATAGCAGGTGGCAGATCTGGGGACACACATGCTGCATTAACACTTTTTGTTGGCTTTTTTGTTTTGAAACAGGGTCTTGCTACATAGTTCAGGTTGGGCTAGAACTCACTATGCAGCCTAAGATGGGCTCAAATTCTCATTCTCCTGCCTTAGCCTCCAGAGTGCTGGGATTATAGGCATGTGTCACCATGCTTGGCTTATAATGGGTTTATAGTAAACCAGCTGACAAGGGTCACAGATTTATTAAACATGAATAAGGGGGAAAAAACCCACTCTAAAATGCAATCTTTTCATTTGACTACTTCAATGTGCTGTTACAAGAATGTGACAACTATTTATTTTCTACTATTCTATCACCTTAGACATTAGAATCCTAGAGGGTAAGGTCAATATTGATTTTGATATGTAACACAGAGAGGAATACTTTAGATATTGACATTATAAAAGCTAGAGACAATGGAATGTTGCAGAGGAATTCTGAAAATATCTGAAACATTTTAAAAAAAGCAAGCAATACAGATTGAGATTCTGGGAAGATGGTGGTTATAGTACAAATTCTCGATCTCATCTCTGGCCTATTTTCCTCCATGAAGTAACACCAGAATAAAAACAGACATGCTGGGGAAAGTCCATCTGAAACCCCAAGTTCCCTTGAGATCTTCTGGGAAGAGAGCCAAGTGGAGAGCTATACTTCTCAAGCAAGGAGTGAAACAAGGAAAGGATGGCAGGGAAAGCTAGATTTTTTCTTCAAGTCCAGCAAAGATACAGATTTTCTCACTTCTTAAGGAACCCAGACAGTAAAAGACTATGGTTTTGCATGTACAAGACATGCAGTGATGGACTGAATTGGACCCAGTCCCTGCAGCTGGGAAAGGTCTGAGACAGACAGATTTACAGGCACAGAATTTATGGTTTAGCAGCTGGTGAGATACTCAGCCCCTAAGAGTAAAAACTGCTGGCTATGCATTGCTTGAGTCTCTACTAGTGTGGCCACTCTGAGAGTTGATGAACATAATTTTGGATGAGCCGAGCCTCAGAGACTAAACCACCAGGTATCTAAACAAAATGAGATGCTAGAGGGAGTACTCTAAATAAATAAATGCAAATTAATTAAACTTTTAATTTCAAAATTTGAGAAGGCAAAAAGAAATAAAAGTATGTAAGGCAATATACATAAAAGGATATTCAAACATTCTAGAATAGTAAAACTATGCATAAGAACAGAAACACACACACACACACACACACACACACACACACACACACACAAAAACAAAACACAGAAGGGAGAAAAAAACTAGATCTATGAAAGATATCTCTAAGAAGGGTCAGAAACATTGTGTGTGTGTGGACTTCTGGCCAAGGGGATGATCAGGTCAAAGAAGGCTGTGACTGAGTTCTACACATTCAAAATGCACACAAACTCTGTGCTCATGGGGAGGAAGAATCATCTGGAGGTCTTATGAGTGGCCAGTTCCCTGAATATGAACAGAGAATTGATGAAGAACTACAGAGAATCTCAAATAACCCAGAACTCCAGGCTACCACGTGGGAACTGACCAAAGCAATGATGAAGGCTGAGATCAGAGAAGAGATATCAAAGGACACTTTGGGAAGCATAAATGCTCAGCAAGAAATGAAATAAGCAGCAGAAATGGAAACTGACAGAATTCTGTTTGAAATTACAGCAGGGCCTTGAGCAAAGCACCCCTATTTAAAAACAGGAGTTATGGGCTTGTACAAGGTAATAGAGTTCAAACTTAGGTTGGGTAATCTACATATGCCTCTGTTTTTTAAACTATAACTCTCACTATCTCCTGTGCACTTCAGCTCAAAAGTGGGTGGAAATTAAAAAATGATTTCCACAAAGCACTTTGTATTCCTTGGAGAATGGACATTATCATCATACATTAAGTTATTACCTTGTTGAATATGCATGATTTCCAGTACCACATAAAGTATATCTAGACATATTTTCCCATCTTGTTTCATCATTTGAAGTTGAGCTAAGTGAAATATAGGCTATTATTTCAAGAGTCAGATACTTAGAAGCAAACTACAAGCTCCAAGTAATATATAATGCTTTTAAAATGATAAATCATTGATGTGTTTACTGGAACTTAAAAGTTTTTTACCTGTTCTATGAACTAAACTCACACTTATTTTTTAACAATAGATAATACTATGCAGTCAAAGCTATATAAATTTATAAATATCAAGTTGTTTTTATAGTTTTTATTTTAAAAATTAATTTTATTTGTACACTTTAGATATGGATGATGATGACATTCATCATATAGGGAATTTGCATTTGTACATAATGTATTTTGATTATTTCCCCCCAATCCCTTTTCCTCCTTTTAATCCCTCTTCCCCTCTTTACCAAAAGCTTTGATTCCATTTTTCCTATTATTCTCTTTCTTTTCCCTTCTTTCCTTTCCCCCTTCCTGCCAAGAGTTGTTTTAAATAGAATGAAGTCAAAACTTATATTCAGTAACATATTTTAACAATGTCTCAAAAATGAAAAATTTTGATATATGAAATATGCATAATTATTACTTAAATTTAAAAATTCACATTACCCATAAGCAACATAACTCGTTTTATGTTCAGAGAAATTTCACTTATGATACCCATCGTATTTTCAAGCAAAAGGTAATTTGTTTTTTTGGTACCAGAGATCGCTAGCACTTGTAAGGCAGGTAGTGGAACCACTGAGCTAAATCCCTGGCTCAAAACAAAAGGTAACTTAAAATGAAAGACCCAACTACAATGCTCTTTAACCAGAAAAATAACAGTAGAAATAATTCAATGGTTCATAAGTGTTCCTATCCTTTGGGGTGGCCTAAATTTTTATACCTGAATTATAGGCCACCTTGCCTAAATATAGAAAATCAGACAAGGGGAAGGGAAAATACAAAGGAAGAAAACACAAAAAGGAAAAATAAAAGGATTATAAGGAAACTTTATATAATTCCTGGCAAAAAGTGATAGGACCTCATGTACTGATGAGTTACTTCAGTTGAAAATCAAGTAGTTCTGTGAAAATTTTGTTTAAATGGAAGATACAATACATGCAATTTAAACAACAGTGTCTAATGATCAGTGTTAATCTCATGTATACTGAGAAGATTAAATAAAATAGCATGTGCAAAACATAGTACAGGACATAGGCCCACAGTAAGAATATAAATGTCTGTTTCCATGTTCTTCACTGTACCTCTCCTGAACAGCTAAAGCATAAAGACCATACCTACTTATTTATTTAGTACCATAAAATAGATACATAAAAATTCAAACCAGATAATTAAGGAATTAATTTAAGGAAGAAACTAGTTCAGTGTTATTACAACTAACATTAAATATCATTGTAGATTTTCTATAGCTGCTATAACAGAGACCAAATCTACATAAATAGTATAAATAAATTTATCAAATAATGTTTAAGACTGTTTTCCATTAAAAATGTCAATAAAAAGATTGAGGCTAAAAATATTAAGTACAAATTAACTGGAAAAATTAACCTAAATAAAACAGCCTAATTCCAATAACTATGGAAATAAATGCTTGGGGCTTTAAATGTCTCTTATAAGGGAATGTCACAGTAAAAATATATTACCATCTAATGAAATTCTCTCTCTTTCTTTTTTTCCTTTTCTGGTACTGAGGATTGAACTCAGGACCTTGCGCTTGTGAGGCAGGTACAGCACCACTGGAGCTAAATCCCCAGCCCATGAAATAATCGTCTTTAAAGAGAGTGATTTGACTTTAACTCTAGTGAAAAGGATTAAATTGATTTGCTCATTAATGTATGTGCAAACGAGTATCAACAAAGTAAAACCAAAAAATTATTCTTACCTTATTGTTTCTTCTATCAGACGATCTGAGCTGCAAATAAAAAGAAAATTCAAATCCTGAACACACAAACTTGTACTTAATTTTTCTACATTTACAGATACAATTTTCAGCCACTTATATATACAAAATACCTAATTTCTGAAGGTATCTGGAGAAAATCCTGGACTTTGAAATTAATTTATCCATATAATATATAATTTACATTTTACTTTTGTTGTATTCATATAGTAATAAGAAAACAGGGCCTAGACACAGGGATTAACTTGCCCAAGAGTCATATGGTTATCAGGCAGAGTCAGGATTCAAACTCAGTCTGACTTCAGTTTGAAATGGCTCTGAATAGTAATTCTTGTTTTTGTTTTTTTTTTGTCCACAATCAGTCCCAATCTGCCCCCACCAGATTCTCATCTCATTTTTTCAAGAATCACAAAAAAACCCTGTAAATAGGATGAAAAAACACATTACACATTGGAAGAAAATATTTGTAAACCACATACTTAACAAAGGATTAGTTACCTACATACCATGTGTTTTTTTTTTAAACAGAAACAACAATCCAACTAGAAAATGGGCAAAAGACATGAGAACACATTTCACTGAAGAGACTAGGCAGACAGGAAATAAGGACATGTAAAAATGTTCAGTATCACTAGCCGTTGGAAAGATGAAAACTAAAACCACAATAATGCATTGTCACACACCTATTAGGCTGAGATAAAAAATTAAGTGTCAACACCAAATGCTGGTGGGAAATGGAGAAACTCAGACTTCCTAGTGAGAATGTAAAACGTACATAGCCACTCTGGTCTAAACACTTTCACAGTTTAGAAACTGGTTAAAAAAAACAAAAACCCTAAACATGCAATAACCATATGACTCAATCATCACATTCCTGAGCATTTGAGAAAAACCTATGTTCACACAAAAACCCTGCACACAGATATTTATAGCAATTTAATAAAACAAAACAAAACAAAATAAAATAAAAAACCCCAAAAAACAAACCCTTCAAACAACCCAGATATCCTTCCATGGGTAAAAAAATGAAGCAAACTACAGTATAGCCACGCCATGAAATACTACTCAGAAATAAAAAGAATGAGTTATTAATAAGTGTAACACCTGAATGAGTCTCCAGAGAATTATACTGAATGAAAAAGACCAATTTTACTACTCTAAAGGCTGAAGCAGGAGTCTGAAGTTAGCTAGCACAACAAAATGAGACCCCATTTCAAACAAATCAACCAACCAACCAACCAACCAAAAACTAACCTTAAAAGGTTTCCACACATATATAATGGTCTTGAAATGACAAAATACAGACATGGAGAATACAGACATGGAGAATAGATTGGTGGTTATCAAGTGCTAATGTGCAAGGTGAAAGGCAGAAGGGGAAAGAGAAGTGGTTGTGTCTATAAAAGGGCAAAATGTGAGATCTTTGTGAAAACAGAAATGTTCTGTATCATGATTATATTAATGTCAGTATCTTGGTTGTGATACTGTATCATAACTGTGCAAGATGTTACCAATGGAGTAAACTAGTAAGCAATACACAGAATTCTCCTGTTGTTTCTTAGAATTGCAGGCAAATAAATAATTAACTCAAAAGAAGTTAAATTAAAAAATGAAAGTGTTGAGCAATGAACTAAGTGATAACCATAAAAAACCCCACTTTAAATTGAATATAAAGTTATACACTTTAAGTAGCAATCAACTATGAAGCAGCATTTAGAAAAACCAAGAAACTATTCTGTGGAAATATATTTGTATCTAACTCAGTGAGTCCACTTGGAAACAAACAGAAAAACACAAAGCCAAAGCATTTTACAAAAATCACTGGAAAGCCAGCCAGATACACTTCATTATTACAATTATCTACTTTCTATAAAACTTGAAAATACAGTAGCATTTTTCTTGTATCCATTCTCAACATAAAGTCAGAACTGAAGTTCAGTAACTAGTTAATTATCAGCCTATCTACTAGACTGTAGTTATAAAATAAAATTCACTATATTTTGTATTCAAAGACAATGTTCTTGAGAAGTGGGGTTGAAATGGTCACTAAGGAACAGCTTTCTATGTTGCTTCATGTAAAGGAAATTCTTTGATGTTCTTGTGGCATGCCAATATGACCCTTAGTTTATGTAATGACTACTTTCCTTAAGAGGTATGCTTTCAGCAAGTGATATTTTCACCAATTTAAAGAATATTTTCAATGTAACAATGCCAATTCTGTAGTTACATGAATTTAATACAAAAAAAACCTCATAAAGCAAATACTACATTTTTGTATAAAGTCAGATTTTCTTTCTTAAAAGGATATGTCAAAATAGACTATCTTATAAATTTGACATTGTCTAGTCTCAGATTATGGTTGCTTTATAGCAACATCTAATTGTAGTTAAAGAAAACACAGTGTTTGTTGAATTCACCTGAAAAGGAAAATAACCAAAGGAAAACTAAAATTATAATCCAGATATCCTACTCTACAGAGGAAGGGATTTTTCCCTGGTTTTAAATCTACTTCTATATTAGTCATCTTTCTTTTAGTCCTAAAATGTACTGCAAAGCACATTTCAAAATGCAACATATGTGAATATTGAAGAGGTAGGCTTAAGAGTAGATCTTCCATTTTATAGGAATAAGATACTTATGGTAAGTCACACATAAGTATTTCACAGACACACTCCACCTGTCATCCTTCACTTACACATGAACAGAGGAAGGCCAATGATCTTAAATTGTTTTTCTTTGTAGACAGGATCTCATTATGTAGGTTCAGGCTAGCCTTGAACTCACTATGGAGCCCAGGCTTTCAATTCACAACAATCCTCCTGCCTCAGTGCTGGGATTATAGGACTGCACCACCACATTTGGCTTTTCATATGCTTAATTTACCATTGGTGTATCTTTTTTTTAATGAGGTGCCTGTTCAGATCTTTCCCTACATTTTAACTGTTGAGTACTGAGAATTCTTTAATTTTGTTTATAAAACCTTGTGTTTTGCAAACATTTTCACTTTGAATATGACTTGTCTTTCATTTTTTGTATCCTTGGTACAGCCTACATTTTTAATTTTAAGTTTTAATTATAATTTTAATGAAGTCCATCCTATCATGGATAATATTTTGGTGTTGGATCGAAAATCTCATAGCTAAATCCAAAGTCACTTTGATTTTCTCCTATGTTACCAAACTTAAAAATTTCATAGTTTTGTATTTTACATTTAGGTCTATGATCTATTTTGAATTAATTTTGGGGAAAGGTGAGGTCAATATCTACTTTTTATTTTTTCACATGTGTATTTCCAGTTGTTCTAGCATTACTTATTAAACATATTACCTTTTCTCCATGGAACTGACTTTACTCCTTTGGTAAAGATCAGTTGACTATATCTGTGTGTGCATATTTCTGGTGTCTCTTTCTGCCCTCTGATCGATTGAATTTTTCACCAATACTACATTCTCTTGATTATATATGACAGGATGTCAACTATAAATGAAAATTAAATTTTGGTGTTTCCCCCCGCTTTCCAAAGTGTTTTAACCAACCATTTGGTGCACAAAAAGTTAAAAAGTCAACAAATATTGGGCCGAGGACTTAGTTCAGTAGTTCCAGTGCCTGCCTTGCAAGCACAAGGTCCTGAGTTCGATCCCTGATGCCAAAAAAAAAAAAAAAAAAGTCAACAAATAGGGTTAACTACAGCAAAAACAGAAAGCTTAAGAGAATGTGGAGATTACAGTTTTCATTTACTGTTCATTAGATAAATAGTTGAAAAGGACTGAATATCCTGAAAACTATGTGAATAATAAAGATCCTATGAAATATTAAAGAAAAAATTTCTAATTTTTTGAAACTTCTAAAGAATTCTTTCATGTCAAATCAGTGAACTGACTCATCTAGTCTATATTTTAAAAAATAGAACTATGGTTTTTCTTTATATCCTAGAACCTGGTTTCTGGCCAATGCTTAAAGACTGAGTTATATGCACTTACCTCATGGAATTGTCACAAAGGCTCAGAAGAGATAACGAAAACAAAAGCAAGTATTTTAAGCCTGTAGATAATAGTTTGACCATAGATCATAGGTGTCTAGCCTTCTGGCTTTCCAGGACTGCACTGAGTCAAAAAGAAATTGTATTGGGCCACAAAAAAAATAATGTATACAAGTAGTGAAACTATCTATCATTTATCTACCTATCTATCTATCTATTGGTTTTTTGAGACAGAGTTTTGCTGTGCAGTTCAGCCTGACCTTGAATTCACTATGTAGTCCATGCTGGCCTCAAACTTGAGGCTGTTCTTCCTGCCTCAATCTGAGTGCTGGGATTACAGGCGTGTGCCACCATGCTCAGCTACAACTTTATTTTTTAATTTACTGAATTATCTTATGAAATAATATAAACCCAAGTCTAATTAAACAAGACAACTTACATGTCTACTTAATAACAATAAATGCTTGTCTCCATAGGTACACACACATGCAGGCAGGTAGTTGGTACATGTTACTCACCAAGTCACACAAACTCATGTAATGTTCCAAATATACAAGTTTGATTCCACTGGTTGTGTGGCAGGCATAGGAGTTAGTGTGATCTCTAACACATTCCACAGTGTTCTGTTGTTGCCTATGCAGTTTGCATTCAAGCACTGCACAAATAAGTCATGAAAAAAACTGCTAAAAATCACATAATAATATTAAAAGCTTACCATCCTTGGGGCCTCTTTATCAGCTGCCCAGGGCCACATGTGGCCTGCAGACTGGATGCACCTGGTAGATCAAGGCACTTTAATGCCTCATATCCTTTCTCTCTTTAGGTTTTCCTTTCCCAATTCTCAATGTAAACAATTTACATATATTTCAAAATCCAGCTCAAAAGTCCAGCCTTTGTGAGCTTCCCCTATCCCACCTGTATATCCAGGCAAAACTAATTCCTCTTTCCACTGTAATTTCATGCTGTCATAATTCTTTGCTCTTTATCAATTCATTCAGGAATATAACAAGTTAAATTTAAGGGATATCAGATA